ATGATGAAGTTGTGCACGTCGCACAGTTGTTAATACAAATATTACAAACACCGTTTGATAAGTAATACCCACCAACACATTGTGTACACCCTCTTGTATCATAACAATAATCCAAGTTACAGTGATCAACACACGTGTTACATTGATTGCTATTAAAATAATACCCACGTTCACAATTGGAACACCCAGTATCAACTTGACATGTACTATTAACACAATGATCTCCACAATAATTACATATGCCATTAAACAGGTAATATCCACTCTGACAACTTGTACACACTGAATTTGAACAAGTCGTACACACATTTGGAGATCCACACTTCATACAAAAGCCACTTAATTTGTAGTAATTATCTGCACAGTTGACACAATTGTTTGTTCCACTATTAGTACAGCCATTACAAGACACGTCACAATTCTTTGTACAAAACCCATCTGAATCAATATATTGATTACCGTCACATGATGCGCATTTATACCCATCAATGCAATGATTTGTACATCCAAAACAATATGTACAATTGTCGTTTGATACACTTTGATCATAATAACACGAAGTGCAGTTATTCGTGTTTGTGGGGTTGCACGTTTTACATTTATCGTTGCATTTTTCACAATTATAATTAAATACATATCCATCTATACACCCATCACATTCAATATTACTTGTTGTGGAATTTCCACAATTCGTATTCGAGCATCCTTCACATGAAAAACAAACACCACTACGTGAATATAACCCAATATTACATATTTCGCATCTCTCATTCCCCCAATAGTCATAATGACAAGTGATGCAATTATACATGTAACAAGCAGATTGCACGAGACCTTTAGTTTGATGTGTTGTTAACGATAAATCGTAAGTAGATTGTTGATTTGAAAATATCAAATAAGTAAAATTCCCAGTTGTAATTTCGACATATAAAACTGCATCTTTTTTGCAATAAATTTCTTTGTATTTTTTATTGTGGGTTTTGAGTGGCAAGTAATTATTGTATGAAAGATCATCACAAAATAAGTTATCATCAACACACTCCACTTGACTTCCGTTGCCGCACCATTTCAAACTCAAACATGTTGTAAAAAAGAATAGTACAGACACTATAATAATTTGGAGAGTCATATATTATTACAAGATGGTGTTTTCTTTTTTTTGTTTGGAATTGTTGCACATTAGTAAATATATTTATATAAGATGTTGTAAAAAATTTGAAATAATGGTAAAAGTAAAGCGAATAACCCACATCCGTTTTCTTTTTTCTTCTTCGAAAAGCTGTTGAATGAAAAAGGGTTCAGTCTAGGTTTTTTGTTTATTTAAGAATGTTTTTATATTCAAAATAGAGTCAGTCCGTAAAGGTTGTACACTCCTCAAACATTGTTTACTTGGTGTTATATTTTTAGAACCATAGAAAGTTCCCAGAATAAACGAAACTGTCGGCAAATAACAATAATGTTTACCATTTAAAACTAATTTTTTTTAGTAATTCCCGTTTTACAACAATTACAAAGAGTAAAAAAAAGAAATAATTAGATTAGAACAGTACTAAAACTAAAAAACGTCAACCCTATTAATCCCACATTTTGGTAATTATTTAACTCTATTATTTATGTTTCTTTTATTTACAAACAAAATAATATGCCAAGATAAGAAAAAAACAAAAAACTTGACGAGTAAATAAAATAAAAAAACAACACTTTTCACAAACAAGACATAATATTTATTCTGAATTACAGTAAAACCTCCCAAGAGCGGTACCTCCCAAGAGCGGGTTCTCTCAAATGCGGGCATTTTTTAGACTGAAACTAAAAATAGAGTTCTCTATCGAGCGGTAATTAAGGTTTGATTGGCTAAAAATGCCCGCTCTTGAGAGAACAAAATTCCGACACCCGCCCGCTCTTGGGAGGTTTTATTGTATTTATAAGCTTTTTGAACAACAAAAATGAA